ACAAAGAAAATGTTTTTTAAAAAGGATCATGGCAACATATGTACAAATGTGCATGATACAACGATGTATGGACAGTTATAAAAGGTTTAAGAGGCCCCAATAAAATGATTTTGTTTATCTTAATGGGGAAAAAAGGGGTTAACACAAGATGTGGAATACCTGTACAGTGGCCACTAAAGCCTTAGAGATATTAAATAACACAAAATAGATATACTACTATATTCATCGACTAGAAGATTCAAAACTTTTAGGTGTCAATTGTCCTCTTATTTGTGCTACCCCTTTCCCCTCATCATTTCAGTGAGGCCTCTCTTATAGCAACTGACAGGATGATCTAAAATGCGTATGAAAATACAAACGATCTTAAGACAGTCAAACAATCTTGAAAAGGAGGCCTAACAAAACTCAGTTTGACAGTGAAAATCACAATTATTATGGGTGAATCTCAGAAATACTGTTTACCAAGAAAAGTCTCACACACACACACACAGATACTGAATCAGCTCATTTACATGAATTCCTAAGACTACTAAAACATAAACTGCAAGTGGAAAAAAATACAACTGAGATTGCGAGAGAGGAGAAGAGTAAGGCAAATGTCTGGGGCTGAAACGTCTTTATTGTGATACACTGGTTTAAGCAATTATCTTATCCAACAGAATGGAATACTTGTGAATTGTACATTTCATAACATGAAGATTTTACCTTAAATAAACACTAAGGATCTCAAGAAACAAACAAAAAAGAGAAATGAAAATAGCTACCAAAAAAATCTACCATGATTTGGTGTATGGCACGGGAGGCTCCCTGTGCAAAGACAGGGAAAGATCTCTAAAGTAGCAGAATACATGACAAAAGCAGGCACAGATCAATATCATGCATAAAAGAAATACACACATCATTAACAGCAGTTGCCTGAAGTGGGGCGAGGGAAGAAAGGCATGTATGTCCGTATGTATGTATACGTGTTCATGTACATATATACCTGTATATTTAAAACCATACAATGGTAATGTCTTTTATCAAAATTAAACAGAAGGGAAAAAAACACTGCCTTGGAATTAAATGCAAGTCAATGTCATCTTGACATTTCTATAAAAAGATATGCTTCTAATCTCAGATAACTAAGCATAAGTAGCACAGACTGTTAGTTCTCGTTCTGAATCCCTTCAGGCTTTCCGATGGGAGACGAGAAACCGCAGAAAGCCAGCCTGCTCTGTTCGTCCTTTTCTGCACAAGGTCGTCTCCAGCTAACGTGGGCCTTCCATGGCCACCCACTTGCTGCCACGTACTCTTATGTCAACTGGCCCTTACTAGTTTTGTAGGGATTTTCTGTTGACTTTCCTACTGAAGAGCTTCAGATTTTGGATAGTTTCTAAGACTTAAGTGTGTGGAATTTAAATCAATGAAGCTTCTCCTGACAGCTCAGTAGTTTTACTCACTCCCTCTCCTCTCCCTTCCTTAATAATTCCATGCACAAAACATTTTATTTCCCTCATTAAGACCGAGGTCCCAAAGGTCTTTCTATACCCACCACTTAGCAAAAAGTACTCAATCCGCCTTTTTCATAGAGCAAAGGCAGGTTTACATGATTCCTCATCATATTAAGTCAGAACATTTAAAACCCCATGGGGGAGGAACAAAACAGATCTCTATGTTTTCTGTCTACTCAGAAAGGAGGGGTGGGTTACAGCTCATAGACAATATCATAAAGGCACTAAGGTGTGCATGGCCAGCCCTGGTGTTTTCAATTTCCTCATGAGCAGGTGAGAGTTGGACATTGAATAAAGAAAACCGAAGAATAGATGCA